TAATATATTTGTTTTTTCAATTTCAATAGTTTTCTGATATATAATTGAAATTTAATTTCTACCTATTTTATCAACTTGGTGTTACCCCAGTCTATAATATGAAATGTTTCCGCCACATGTTCTGCTAATAATACCGATTCGTTTACTTTGTATATTTCTACCGCATGTTTATGTTCCTTGATCCAGCATTTTAACTTTTTTACACGTTTGGCCAATATAAACTCGCCCACAGGTACAAGGAATTTTGTGAATTCCACATTTATCAATTTCTTCTATGCTATCTTTTGTACTAGTGACACTATTTAATTTACAACGCGGAGAGAATGTTACATTACATTCTATGTATTTTTTCATTATATTACCTACTTTTGTATATAATCCTTGAACATATGGTAAATAAACTCTCACGTTATCTACTTTACATTTGCCTTCTTACCTTGTACACATTAATGTTCTTAATTTATTGATATGTTTATGATGCAATCTATCATTAATTTAGGTTTATATCCTCTATCTATGGCTGCATGCTTTAAGCAGTTTAACTCTGCTTTCACATAACAATCATAAGTGCATATTTTTAAGGTTCTAAACATAAATGTGGAAAATGCGGATAGTTTTTGAGTCCATGGGTGACATGATCTATTGTGTGCAAAGTTGAGAGTCGACTATTGTCCCGTTTAAGGGTCCTGTCTAACAAATTTAGCTGACCCTCTTTTTCCATCTCTAATGTAAATCTGGTGGTAGGACTGATTGAACTAAAATGTTTTTCAAATTCTAATAAAGTCCCAATGCCATTCCGCCACACTAAAAACGTGTCATCTACATATCCTAACCACACTAAAGGTTTCACTACAGACGCGTTAAAATTGAACATAAATATTTCAAATAAAAGAGAGGACAGGGTCGAGACCTCATTGCTGAACCCTTAATCCGTTTAAAAATTTATTTTCCATCTTAAAAGATGCGTTTGATACACACTCATGAGTAAGCTTTAAAATGTCGTTCACCTCAAGCAGAGAAAACTTCTTACACTTCAGTAATCTATTTTCCAAACAATTCAAAGCCTCCTTAACTGGAACATTCGTAAACAGCGACACAATGTCAAAAGAGACTAATTTATCAATTAATTCTACATTTATCCCCGAGATTTTGTTAACAAAATCAAACGAATTTTCTACTGTATATTCATAAGAGTTCGTTAAGAATTAACATTTTCGACAAATAAATTTTGATAAAGGATAAAATGATGAACCTATATTGTCTACAATTGGACGAAAGGGGAAAACAATTTTGTGGCTTTTAGGTAGAACAAAGAAACTTGGTAAAATGAACCTTAAGGGGACAAGGTTTTTCCTTTCTTGTGGTGTCAAAATAGGACAGTTTTTAACTACCATTTGTAACCTATTATGTATCACGGTCTAAACTTAAAATTTCCATTTATTTGGATAACAAATTCTCATTTGACAAATAACAACTTTAGGGTTAGACAATAATTTATTGTACTTATCTTCTAAGACTGGAATCTTATTATTCAGTTTATTTTTTAAACTTTCCTTTTTCTTCTTAATCAGATTATTCAGTTTTTTATTCAATTTCACCTTATTATTTGTCTTTAATTCTTCACACTTGAACCAACTATACGAATCTAACCTGTCCCATCTATGAGTGTCCTTGATTAATTTTAAATGCAACTCCTACAGTGTAGCTTCCGTTAATACTCTCTCTTCTCTTTTCTGTAATCACAGCTCTCAGGATTTTGCCCTGGGTTTGTTGTATAATGAACTTAACCTTCTCGTTTTATAGATTGCACTTCACTTTAATACTGTTCGGAACTACTTGGTATTTTTAACATTCAACCAAAAAGTTCAATTGGGTGAGTTTTCTTCTGTGTCGACTTCTGAGGTTGTTAAACTTGAGTAGCTTCAGGCATAATGACTATACGTTTTAGATGATCTCAAAGCCCCAGTTGTTGTACCAATCCAACCAGGAAGCCAACACTGATAACTTTTGTGCAGTTTCGCAGGCCAAAACAACTCAAAGATATCTATTTTCACTTCAAACGAAATTGTAAGGTAATAGTTCCCAATCAGTAGTAAGTTGATGAAACAGATAGAATTTAAAATATAATTAAATATCAGAGAAACTATTGAAAACGAAAAAAATAAAGATATATTAGGTCGTCAAGAAATTGATGTCGCGTTTTGGAACACTTTCATTAATCCCCAAAAACGTATATCACATGTAATAATTAAACGAACCGCTTAAACGTCACTTTAGTGTACCCTACATAATGTGTAAAGTTTAGTATATTCTAATCCCTTCTAGTGATGGCACACGACGAGACACACATTCAGCATGCAATGCTGTTTGAATACAAG